TTTGAGGTCTGTGTGAAATTGACCGCAGGTGTAGTGTGCTTTGGAAAAGGATTTTTGGAAAGGCTTCAGCTGCAATGGCAAGTTGACCTGGCTGTGCCCGGCATCCTGCTTGTGGCAGGGTTTCTCCACAGGCTTCAGCAAATGATAGGAATGTGGGGCAGACATCCTCCAAGCTGAGCTTGGACTCAGCTTCCTGAGGTCAGGGGCCTGGGTTCCTGGCCCCTCAGCCCATGGGGAGATGACTCTCCACTGCAGCTCCTGGGGCCTCTCTTTCGCTGCCCCTGTCCCCCACCCCACCCAGACAGTGGTCCAGGGTGGGGGGGGACTCAGATAAAGACCCCAGATGTAGGGATCAGAACAATTCTTCAAGTGGCATTTTGCCTATGTATCAGGTGTCCGAGATAACATTTCCTCTTGGGCCTCTAGGTGGGAGGAAATTCAGATCTCCTCAGCTCCGGGGCATCTTATGCCCCCTGGACCAATGGAGCAATCAGGTTACAGAACCTAGGCCAGAGTTTAGGGCATGCTCTCACCTGCCTGTGTCAGCTGTCGGTTCAGTTGGTTTTGCAGTAGCTTTTCAGAGCCACTGTGCCCTGTGACTGAGGGACTTGGTGGCTGCTCGGCTCTCAGGGTTACGACAGGGATAAGCGCTTCTCAAATTAACGTGATAAATAAGAGATGTACAGTGGCCGGACACATCTGCTGGCTTACCTGTCGAACCTGATTATTTGGAAGCTTGTTTCTCCAGAGTCTTGGATTTCAAATTAGAAATATGTCTTCTCTTCCTCCCTCTAATTCCTTTCTCAAGCCTCAATTTGTCCATTTCCCTTAGGGGAATAATCCTCTTAACCCCCATGCATGCTGTAGGAGTACATTTGCTTTGGTGAGAAAGAAAGGGGTTGCTGTAAAAATAGGTTGGTTAGAACTAGCATTTCTAGGTGTTTACCAACAGAAATCAAAATCTGTTTTGGCACTTACCATTTTCAATCCTATGAAACAGTTAAGTTACAGGTTGTTTTGATTATTTGTAATCAGATATATCCATTCTGATTCATAATGATGTTTATCCCTTTTTTCCTCCAAATTCTAGCCCAGTGGAAGAATTTGATATACTATGCTATTGCCAGAAAGAGTAGACATTAACTATCAAATAATTTTACCATTATCATAAGTCACCTACCATTATTAATGAGTACTGAATGCCCTAATATCCATCCCCAGTTCAGAGCCTGAAGGGTCTCTGCCCCTGTGAGGTGTGTGTGAAAAGGGATCGACTAGGAAGGAAGCAGTTATTTCTGACGAACCTCAGCTACCCTCCCTATTTAAGCGGGTTAGTTATGTTAGAGCTGGGAAGCCCCTAGGTGAGTACAGTGTTAATCCAGCTGTGCACCACTGTGCTTCTTAGTCCGGGTTGTTGGAAGTGAGCACAGCCATGCTGAGAAGCCCCTTGAGACAGGGAAGGCTCTGGCCTCTGAGCCATTAGGGAAGGACAGTAGGGCACCCAGACGTGCTTCCCCAAAGAGGGGCCACTCTTCTAAATTTCACACAGTGATGTGTGTATTGACAGTACTCATTCTTCCATTCATTTCATCATTCACTCATTCTGCAAGCATTTACCAAGTACATTGCGTGGGCCTGGCATTGTTAGCCCCTGAAAATACCTAAATGGAGGGCATGTTCCTGTCTTCCAGAACCACCCAGTCTCGGAGGAGAGACAGTTACATCAACTTTTAACATAAAACAGTGTGGTCTGTACAGTGATAACCATACCCACAGGGGGAGATGGGGCACTGAGGACCCGAGGCCTAACTTTTTACATGAGGGTGGTAGGGAGAAGAAACAGAAGGCTCACAGCAGCCTTCCTGGTGGAGGTGGCATCAGGGCTGGATTCAGAGGCTAGATTCGGAGTTAGGGTAGTGTTTGAGTCCTGGTTTTGCCACCTGCTGGCTGTATGACTTTGGGTAAGATACTCACTAAAATCTCAATTTTGTCATCTAAACAATGCAGGTAACAGTGTTACCTGCCTCAAAGAATTGTTTAAAGATTAAGTGAAATAATATATGTAAAGTGCAAATCAGAGTGCCTGAAACAGGCCACGTGCACTAAAGCCGATAATCACCACTGCTGGCATCACCAACATTTACCAGACCTTATTCACAGTGAAACATTGATCTTCATAATAAATTAACATGTATTATTTTACAGGTTATTATGTGAAGCATCAATTAATCTAGGTGTATACAGATACCACAGAGAGAAGGGACTTCGACATTAGTCCTGATGAGTGCATCTGTGAACCAAAGAGTTAATCCAAAATTAGCCCCTCCAAAAGTCACGAGTCCTTGTAGCAAAGGCGCCTGAGAACCTGGTAGAAAATGTGTAGGATTTTTCCAGAGCGGTAGTTTATTATTGTTCTTTTTGAAAAATGAATTAATAACTAAATATTTTGAGCATTTCTCAGTTTCGACTTCTCATGTGTCAATATCAATAGATATAACCCGTGTAAACTAGATCTCTTGAGGGGGGTCTCAATAAATTTGCAGACTCCTAAGGGATTCTGAGACCAAGAGGATTCTGAGAACCTCCATCCTAAAGGCCAAGATCTTCCCGGTACTCTTTCCCCAGACTGTTGGGCTGCAGGGAAGCAGGACAGCTCAGGCTGGCTGGCCTGTGTAGAGGACGCCTGCAGGCTTTTCTTGACCACATGTCAGTTAATAACACCTGCTTCCTCTCTCCCCAGGTCAGGGGCCTCAGCCTTAGCTGCACATTGGAACCACCTGGGCTATTAACAGATAGATGCCTGGTCCCACCCCTAGGGTCCATGATTCGGTCGGTCTGGGCTGTAGCTGTGGCATATGATTTTTTTAAATCCCTAAGTGATTTTGATGTGAAGTCAAAGTTGAGAACCACTGTTGAAGGTAGTCAGTGAGGAGGTGAGTCGGCTTGATAATGTCAGAATGTGGCAACATCAACCTTATTTATTTACTAATAGTTGCTGTTGAAAGTCTCAGGGAAACTACATCAAATCCTTGTGATCAAAGTTAAAGCATTGATTTTTCCATAAAAAGGTTCAAAACAAAACAAGACCAAAAAAATCAACAGCAGTTTAATCATTTTGCTGTTTGGGGTTTTTTTAGGGAGTCCCACACACTTTGTCTAAGCAAGGTCAGTTCTTAGCTGAACTTCATCAGTTCTCCTGCATCATGATGATATCGATCAGTGTCTCTGAACTGGGCCTCAAGATCCTCCTTGCATGGCAGCGCTCACTCTGGAGGACTCACTGGTCCTTCTCCAGAGGCGCCCTCCTCATACTTTTCCCCGTGGCCGCTGTGTGTGGATTATCCACAGACGCTGGATTCCCAGTCTGGTTCCCATCCACCTCCTGCATTTCGCCTCCACCAACCCCACCCCACTGAAGGATTTGAGTGTATTTAGAAAAATCCATGTTTCCTTTGTGTTGGAATATGGATGGCCAGTCTATTGCTCCAGGTAGTCTTAAAAATGAATAAATTAATTTTTATTTAAAAAAAATTTTTTTCAGATCAGTTAATTTCCAGATTTTGTCTTCATGAAATACAATCATATAGTCTGAAAATAATAACTTTATGCTTTCCTCTTTTCAAATCTTTCACGTCTTATTCACTGTTTAGAACTTTTAGAAGCTTTCTCCTTAAATATTCATGAAAATAGAAGACATTCGTATGTCATTTGTGACTTTAATGAGACGATCTCTAATGTTTAACTGTGAGAATAACAGTTGCTGGCTCTTTGTGCCATACTGAGATTATACTTCCCCATTTCTAGATTAATATTTTTCTATCATAAAAAGGACCAACTTGGTGCATCTCAAAGCCCCAACAGAAATTATTTTTATGCTCACAATCTCATTTTACCCAGAGTGAAATTTATTTGAGTAGTCAGCATTTATCTCTCTATATTATCACCATTTTCAACCTCACGATAAGTTGATAGTTACCACTGAAGGCGCTGGAATGTTTATCTCCGTATTACACTTTACGATGCGTTATAAGTTAAGAATGTTGCCAGTGAATATAAATATCACCTTTTTTAAATTTGAAATAACCGAGACTCCCGCTCTCAGCTCTGAAACCATTCCTCCAAGAGCGGATGTTGGAAAGAAGTGGGGAAAGAGCCCCTGTTTGGGGACGTGGCCTCCGATCACCAGGACCTCCCGAGGGTCAGCGTGGAGAGGAGTGTGTCATTTGACTCATCGGACTTCTGAATAGAAGCCCTTTGGCCAGTAATGTGCTCCGCCTGCCGCCTCCCCCAGTTCTCAGGACAGTAGCTTCTACAGAAGAGTGAGGCGGGTGCAGCTCCTGAGCTCCGGGCCACTGTGCTGTAACCTGTCCTCGGCGAGTCTAGTATTAGCCTTAGTGACAGACACCTGCTTAGACAGCAGGCAAATTGTGCTTTGTCTACAGTTTTTAAGGCATGTCCTAGAATATGGTTCCAGATCCCTCAAAGGCCAGGGAATGAAACGGGCGGTTGCTGGGTTTGTCTTGAGAATGGCCTCCATCTATGCCAAATCCTGCCCCAGGAGGCAAGTGTGGTTCCTCCCCCTGCCCCCCAGGTAGTTTCTAGGTTCAGGCCCAGGCAGGGGTGCTTTGTCACCTCCCTTCGTAGTACTTCACGTCTGCGAAGTTTCAGCAGCGTGTCACGGCCTCGTGGCTAGCTGTGCCCCTCCTGCCCCGACACCCAGCCTGCGCTCGACTCAGCTCCCGGACGGAGCATCTGCACAGCGTGTGCTCTGTCCTGACTAAAAGACGAACTAAAGCAACGGACAGAAACTAAGGTGCCAGGCCATAGTGACTGTATGGACAGTAAGGACCGTAAACCTCAGAAACATCGTGAGGGAGGGGTGTGTGTACGTCTTGAACCCGCGCCTGTGTGTGAGGGGGACAGCTGGCTGTGTGGGTCGGTGGCTGGCTCTGGGTCTGTCCTTCCACCTCTGATGCCATCTTCCCGAAACCCTCCCGCAGGCTCTGTCCACGCCACGTCGGTAGCAGCCTCCAGAGTGGAGCAGGCACTGTCGGAAGTGGCGTCGTCTCTGCAGAGCAGTGCCCCCAAGCAGGGCCCGCTACACCCCTGGATGACGCTGGCGCAGATCTGGCTCCACGCAGGTACCGCTCCGCCCCTCAACCCCACGCCCACCTGCCGCTCTGTCAGAGGGGAGCTTGCGGCCTGGGCTGCAGGGTTTATGCTGTCGCAGGGGCCAGAGATCTACACCCCAGACTTTCTTTGAGGGGGACAGCAGAGCGTGGTGTCCCAGACCCGACGGAGGTCTGGCAGTCCTGCAGCCTTGGAGTGGAGCCTCAGTCTGCTACTTACCAACAGCTGTGGGTGATAGCCTCCCCTCTCAGCCTCGGTTTCCTCATCTGTACGGTGGGGTCAATAGCATCGTCTCTTAGGGTTGGTGAGCACAGTGCCTGGCACACCCTGGTGGTGAAGTCTAAGAGACCCTGGGAGGGGCCAGGTGTGCTGATGAAACAGATGTCTTTATCTAAGCCGAGGGGGCGGGGGGGACAGCGTTTTGATGTCCGAGCTTTCCCTTCTGACGGCGCTCCTGGTAATCCTCAGAGAGCAAGGCAGGTACCAGCAGCTGCCGGACTGGAAACTAGCCCAGAAGGCAGGTGTGACTGCTCCTCCCCCAGTTTCACATGGCTGCTTCTGCATAGCTGGGAATCGCCACAGTAAATCCAGCCTGCAGACACTTTAGCAATGGGAATCCCACCATACAGCGCAAATGGTGGCTCTTGATTTGCTTACATATTTATAGTTCCATAGGAAAGATAACTTCTGTTTCTCAAGTTTTACCCCTTGATCTGCAAGCCCTTCCCAGGCTCAACTCTCAGGGTGCACGGCAAAAGCCCAGGTTTGGCTGCAGAAGTGCTTATTACCCACCGCTGGCCATCTGTTTACTCCTTTTTTGCCAAGGCTAATTGTATGATGTCCAACCTTGTTTGGAACCTTCGTGTAAGAAACACAATTGGATTTACCTAGGTTTGGCATGTCCCAGAGCCGAGCTCAGTCAGCCGCTCCCGTGTTGGCATCTTTAATTGAGCCAAAACAACCACTGTAAATTAACAAATTATGTTCTTCTAAGCGGAAATACAGAAGAGGGATGATTCACGAACGTGCTGACTGCTGTTCCTGTGCACATGCTGGCCAGCGTTCAGCCTCTTGCTGGGTTCTAGACAGGCCGGCTCAAGGGCCCGGGAACAGCAGTCATGCCTTCCTCTGCGGCTCTCTTGAAGAAAAGCTGTTCCCCAGTCTAGGACCTGGTGCCTGTCCTACTCAGTCGCCCTCACGAGCAGTGACGGCAAAGAACAAAAAGAGAAGGGGTTCACTTTAGTGTCCAGGCCAGGTGAGACTGGCCGAACCTGCAGGGCTAGTAGAGGGGCAGAGTTGTCCTTCAAAATGGGCATGAGGTTGAGTTTTTAAAGGGCTGATGTCTACGAAACCACAAGGGCAGAAGGTGATCCTTCTAGGCTGGAAGCAGCTCCCTTGACCTCCCAGGCATTACTTCTCTTGCTTGTAGCTCGGAAAAGCTAATGACCTTGGTGAGGGTCACTGAGTCCCAGGACCGCTTTGCCCAGTGGCTTGCTGCCCCTCACTCAGTTATGCAGGCTTTGCTCCTCTTGACGTGACCCACCATGACTCTTGGGAGGAGATTTTGTAGCTGCTTACTAGAACATTGAAGAACCCGGCAGCTAAGATTCCTTTTGGAGTTATCCTTGAAGTTTTATCAATCGTGTGACATCCCTTTCTCACTGCCATAGCCTATAGGACAGAATAAAGCTCTCATTGCTATTAATGCGTGTGGCTTTTAACATTCTACGAGTTGGTGGAATTGAATTCTGGAAATGGAATATCATACTTGCCTTAAACTCCAGGCAGAATATAAATCCCGCTTATAGAGTATGAATGAATGAAGCAAATTATAATCTTTATAGGATTGGTGCTATATTGACTCTTTCAAAGCACTGACTTTGAGTCAAGATTAGAATTGTATCGTATGTTCAATATGGTCTTTGAAGAGGTAAACTCAGAAGGAGTTCATAAAAGAAGCTTCCACTGAACTGTAAGGTTTTACCATAGGTGGTTTGAGCTTTACTGCTCTGGGTGGCAAACTAAAAGTGACTCACATTTTTTGACAACTTATGGAAACCAGGTAACATCTGCGTCCATCGTCAGCTCTAACAATACCGCCGGATTCTGTAAATGCCGCAAGCTTTGGAAGAAACTAGATCAAGGCCTCACACCCAAGGCCATGGTGTTTCTGTGGCGTTTGCGGGTCTCTGATCTCCTGGTTGTTTTTGCTGGTGATCTGAGTGTAGTGGGAGCTTGTGGTGGAGGCCCGTGCTGGAGGTGGCCCCAGATTTGAGGCTGGCAGGTAAGGCCACTCTGAGACGACCTCAGATTTCCAGCCTATTATATGAGCAGGTCCCTGAGCCACTTGTGTGTCATCTGAGTGGCAAAGAGATCATGACTGGGACACCGGAGCGTCTGGCTGCTCTGTGAGGACATCAGCCACAGGCCCAGTGGGGAGCACAGACCCAGGAAGTCCAGGGATGCTTGGCCATCCAGGGTCCCTCCCGTCCTGTGTGGTGGGACCCATGCCCTGGGCGCCCCCTCCCGCTGTACCTCTTCCTCCTTCCTGGACACTTCTGACCCCAGGGCCTCAGGCTCCTCACAGGATACCTGGTGGCCAACTGGCATGGGTTGTACATGTTTTGTTGCTTGGTTTTTTTGGACCCATGTGACAATTTTATTTAAATTATTTTTGAAAAACTAATACACGCACATGATACACAGTTCAAAAGGCACAAGAGACGTGAAATGAGAGGCTTCCTGCCATCCCGAGTGTCAGTCACACTCCCCCACGGCAACCACCGTTAGTGTGTGCACACCTGCCGGGGTGTAACACTCGCTGGAGACCATTGCCTGTCGGCACGTCAGAGAGTAAATCCATTGTATGATTTTACCATAATTTAACCAGTAGCCCACTGACTAACATTTAGATTATTTCTAGTATTTTGCTGCTACAGACAATGCGTCAATGAGTAGCCGTCTATAGATTGTTCTGTACCTGTAAGGTAAACTCCTAAAAGTGGAATTGATGGATCAAAGGGTGCATACTCTTTAATTTTGGTAAATTTTGTCACATTGCCTTCCACAGAATTGTGCCAGTTTGCATTCCAGTCAACAAGGTGAGAATGCCCATTTTCTCACATTCTTGATAACACAGCAAATTATCAGACTTCAAGATCTTTGCCAATCTGATAGGTGAAAATGGTATTTCAGTTGTCTGCTCATGGTTTCTGCCCATTTATCTTCTTAGATACTGAGCTTTTCTTTTTGAGTTGTAAGCACTTATTATGTGTCAAAGAGATTTGCCTTGTGCCATATGTGCTATAAGTATTTCCCCCCATTTTAATTTTGTTTGTGTTTTGGGGTTTTGTTGGGGGTTTTTTGCCAAATTTTTTTTTTTTACATTTATCAATCTTTTCCTTATAGCATCTGGGTATCTCATGATATTTAGAAAGAAACTACCCATTTTTATGGTCTCTTTTCCTGAAAGTTCCAAGTATCTTCTAGTGCCATTTGTATACACACCATCTTATAAAGAAGGTCCAAAAGGTTCTTTTCCTCTGTTATGCAGAAGGGAAACCCAGGCCAAATAGAAACCAGCACCTCTGTGGTCTCACTGGGCAGTAGTCAGGTGAGCTGAATTAGAGCATTTGGTGTTTGTTGCACCTTGAGACATATCTCCCTGGGAGTCATACACCGTTTTCTTTAGAATGCACACCTTATCACTGGCCTTTGGAAATTCATAAGCCATTCAGAGTTGAACCAGGGCCTTTCCCAAGCCAAGCAGCTTCTTGGTGTCCATCCTTCAATTTCCACTTCTGGGATGGCAGCTAAAAATGACTGTGCGGTAGGTGGATAATTTCTGCTTGTTACTTACTAATAATTATAGCTTTCACTTTGGCATCTCTCACCGTCGAAACCAACGGCTATTCTTAGATGTGCAAGATCAGATTTTCTGATTTCTGCTGGGAATGTAAAGCTGTGATACTCTCACAAATTCCTTGGCCCTGGCTGGCCTGTCCCTGTCCCTGCCCTTCCCCCTGCTAGGTTCCTCCCAGCCACCGGGAGGCTGCATCGGCAGGGTTGAAGGGTAATCCTGTGGCATGGCCACCATGACAAGATGAAGACAGCTCCCAGACAGGTGGCGTGAGGGTGACTGCACAGGGAGTGCTTGCAGGAGGGAACATGTGGTACCCAGGGGTCAAGCCTAACCTGACACGGTGCCAGTCTCTGTGGGTCAGCCCCGCCAGACCTGCCCCTTCTGCTGCCCTGGGAGGTTTTGATTCACGGTCTACAACCTGCAGGTAGCTGACCTTTACCAAGCACCGTGCATGTGTCAGACCTTATCCTAGGACTTTATGTGTCTTAACTTGTTTAGTCCTTGTAATAGCCATATAAGGTATAAATACCCTTTAATCACCCCATTTTACAGATGGAAAAACCAAGACACAGCTCTCACGTCACCTGCCTAAGGTTACATGACTAATAAGTGGAGAAACCAGAATCCAGACCCAACCAGTGTGGCCCCAGAGCCCCAACCCCTACCCAGGGAGGGCACTCAGCTATGGAGCATGCACCTGTGAGCATCTGTTTACGTGCGTCATCAGGGCGAGGCTCTGGAGCTCAGTGGTCAGCAGACGGACACGGGCTCTGCCCTCATGGAGTTTACAGATGTGAAACATAACAATTGCAGAAGCACTTAATTCCACGGTGCCGAGTACCCCAGAGCAGCAGTGTAGGCTCTGGGAGAACTGGGAACAGAGGTCCTCCCCAGCCAGGACCGGAGGAGGCCTGAGCACGTGGCAGGCGTAGGACACACGTGGACAGGCCTGTGGGCCACATGAGCCCTGAGGTTAGAGAAATGGCAGGGCCGCAGGGCATGAAGCCTAGAGAGGAAGAATCACGTGGCCGAGGCGAGGCCAGACGAGCCAGCGCCCTGGTGACCAGGTCAGGATCTCTTCCTAAAAGCACTGAAAAACTGTTGAAAGACAGCAAGTGGGGGGATGAAAGGATCAGAGGGAGGTTGCTA